CACTAGGTAGTATAAGGGAGACCCCTTGAAGGGAACCCTTCTTGACCCTACTTCTGGCTTTCTCAAAAGGGACCTTATTGAGAGGATCAAAATCCCCAAGGGTCCCCCTAATCCTAACTCCAACTGTTCCTACTTCCATGCCACGCCCCATGAGCCAGAACATCTGCCTCCGACTCTCAGGACGAAGCGCCTCCTAACAGGATGACCATCTTGGGGTGTTCATTGCAATAAAGTATCCTTAGTAGCTGAGTGAGTACACTTTGCACTTTTGGGGGGATAATATGATCCCTTATAGAACTGAAAGTGTACATTTTTGGGGCTTATGAGCAACTAAGTATCGGGTCCCAACTTTTCAGGGCGAGATGGTTCCTAGATGCACCCTCATGGGATGTGGTGGGCAAAGCTCCAGGAGGCGGCAAAAAGCGCCCGGAAGTAATCTTCATAGGGCTCTGTGATTGGTGGGCTGTGTACGCATTTATGTGTTCGAAGAGGCCCGAGCATGAAGTGGCTTTTGGGGCATGGCATGGTATTCCACAAGCATGCAGGGGTCAGAAGGGTGCACTACTCTGGGGTACTCCTCTATTTTCAGGCTCTTGGATGCGTTTTGAGTCTTTTATTGTTTGAGTTTAGGACTTCTTTCATAGGGACCTCCAAGAGATGTGTGCTTTGCCTGCCTTCTGAAGGGAATGGAGAACCCTACAGTCACAACCTTGTACTACACTGACCCTGAACCTGTAAACCTCGAGCCGGAGGAACAGCTCAAAGCCCTAAGACCTGGAGCCGAAAACAAGGGGCCTTAACAAGTACCTATACTATTGTAGGTGTTCCTTATTTTACAAGTATAGTAGAATATACACCCAAACCCTATTCTAATTATTCAGGCCCTTACCTTACGCCCGGATATTAGAAGCCCGCAAACCACCAGGCCCCAGGTCCTACAATAAGTTTTACGCGCTGCTTCCGGGCCTCTGTACCGGACTGCTGGTGCTTTGTGGGACAGGTCTTTTAAGACTAAAGGTTTAGGGTTTAGGGGTAGGGTTTGGGGTTTAATGGCTGTCAACGTAAATTTCATAAATCCACCGTAAGGCCCTGTCAGGCCCAGGCCCACCCGAGGCTTTTTACGGCCCCAGATTAGAAATTATCCGAAGCCGCATATTGCATACCAACGTGGGTTTAGGGTTCCTTCTAGTAAATAAGGGTTCCGACATGGGTTCGTTGGCTCCTACAAGGGTTCAGAATCTTTCCATTTTAGTGCTGATGGCGGCATGTTCTTCACCGGAGGGACAGAAAATTTTTAGGATTTCGGGTTTGAGGGTTTAGCCGCGTCAGGTTTGGAGTTTATAGGGTTTAAGGTATAGTAATTTAGGGCTGCTGGGTTTAGGGTCAAGGCCTATATCCTCTGTATCTCATGGTGCAGGCTTCAAACGTTAAAGCCTGTGCAGCCTCTGAGCTTGCAAGGAAAGCCCTCCTGGATCTCTTAAACCCTAAGCCCTAAAATTCTAAACCCCTAAACGGCCCTAAACCCCCTAAAACCCTAAAGTTCTAAACCCCTAAACCTCTAAACCTCAGACATCCTCAGAGCCCTCAACTCTTTTGCCCTCCGGCCCTGGAGGGCACCTTCTCTGACAGAACCGGTCTCCGTCAATCCGCTGGCTTATGCAGGGGCCTTAATAATTAGCGCAGGGTCTTGGGGCCCATGATATTCTTTTTATAACAAGGAACCCCCAAAATAGTACTGGTAATTATGTAGGCTTCTATATTTCGCCCTGATTGTCTCGGGTTGTAGAGTTCAGGTCTTAGGGCAGTCAGGGTTTCGGCTCAGTTCCTATAAGCCTTTTTAGATTAGAGACTAACAGTCCCTCAATGGGTTAAGGGTTTAGGGCAAACCTTCTTCTAATTGCTCGGGCCCCCCCCCATGTTGATGTTTGGTGTTGAGGTCTCAGTGTTTTGGAGCTTCAATGGGGCGAGGGTGCATGGGAGTGTGTTTGTGGTTGATGCCAAGCCGCTCCAAGCTAATGAAGAGGCTTGCTTTGCTTGGGCCATAAGGCTATTCCGTAGGGCTCCTCAATATGGCTATGCTGTTCCCTAGACCCTAAACACTAAACCCAGATTTTGTTCAGAGAAGTTCAGGCCCCTGTATATGCAGTGGTCACCCTGTGGGGCCTATCACCCGTGATACTGTACGCACAAGGGGGTTTGAGTTTAACGTATTCCCACACTGTAAACTAAACCCGTGGCCTTAACCCGTATAACTTTGCTGGGCATACTTAGCACCCAAAACCCTAAACGCACCTAGCCTACTTTATTACCGAACATCTTAGTTTAGAATTGGGACTCAAATTGATAAGTCCTTTCGTTTGCTAAGGGCTTGAATGTCAGGGTCCCTATTTCGGCTGTTGGGTCGTTGGCCAAAAGGCTTGTTTTTTAGGGCTCTACATCATAATTATCCACATGCATCAGCATCAATTTAAACCCTCTGGAAAGCGCAGTCAGCACGAATAATGTACAGACTGAACCCTAAACCCTAAACTCTACACCCTACCTTCCATCCTTCTGGAAGAACAGGAAGAGCGAGAAGCAGGGTCCCTGCAGGGACCCAGCTTCACAATAGTTGCATGGGCAGGCAAGCTTCAACCCGTTCGGATATACAAATTCCAATCTAGGCCTTTGGGACATTTCACATTTTCCCTCAGTTGGCTGAAGAGGATCTTATTTACGAATATAGTTTTAGAGGCTTCCGAGGGCCAACCTAGATCCGCACCAATGCGAGAGGGCTGGGGCAGAGCTTCTGGATCTAATTTCAGATGCACGCGGGCTTCCCGTTTCCATCTTCGAAGGCGCTGCACAAGTTGTTTTGGAAGGTACGTTCCACAAAGGATCCTCCAGCAGCCTAGCAAAACTGCAAAGCCTCGAAACCCTTTCGAGACCAACAGCCCTAAACCTTAAAACCGAAAACTTCAACCCTCAACCTGAGACCCGAAAACCTTAAACCCTAAACCTTATAAGCCCTAAAAAGCAAAACCCAAAGGCCTAAACCCCAAAACCTAACTCCGCAGGTGCTGCCCATTCCAGGTTTTTCGGCTCTGAGGAGATTTCCCAGAAACTCCAAAGGGGCCCGGCACGGGGTTTTGAAGTGTTTGAGTTGTTCGCTCGTCACTTAAGAGATGGCGAGCGCTGGGTCTCTTTGGGCCCTCTGGCTTTTCCTTGGCTTCTCGTCCTTCTTCTTCCAGGGAGCTGGCGCATCGGTCTGCCCAGACGGGGCACCTGAAGCACCCGAAGCCTGCGCCTGGTCGGCCGGTAATATGGGGGGCCTCAATAATTACCTATACTATTTTGGGGGGCTCCTTATTATAGTTATAGTATAATGGGCCCCACAACCCTATTCTAGTCATTAAGGCTTCTACATTAGTACCCGTTCATCCTGTGGATTGTGGGAAAAACCCTTGCTATGAACTGGTTAATCCGGACGAGGTACTTGTTTGGCGAGGGGGTACATAGTGGGAAACTTAGGCACCAATCATGATTACAGCTGCATTTCCGGACGAGCTGCCGATCCGTGTGAATGTCTCGAGGGCTTCTATCCTGTCGGGAAGCAGGGGTGGTATCCGAGCACGCAGCGCGGCTACGAGTTCGCTTGCTGTCCAGGTCAAGGAGATGGCGGCAGCTGCGGGGAAGAAGGGATACTGGGCTCTTGTTAAGGACCTGCAGTTACATCACCAGAAGGGTACTGCAGAGATATCCTGTAATTAGTTCAACTCGATAAACATATCTTCAACTAGGACCTTCAACTGCATGTTCATATATCTTTGACATTCTTTGACACTCTAGAAAGCCCGATGCGACCCTTTTGCAGCAAGAAGCCAGAAATGCGTAAACACCTAAACCTCAAGCCCCAAACCCTCAAACCCTGAAGCCTTGATAAGAGCCAGGCGGTTCCAAACGAGAAATCAGGTGAATAACTAGTAGGTGGATTGGGGCCCACTATTTAATAATAGTTATCATATTCCTAAGGCTCAACATAGCCCAAAAGCATTTTATGGTATGGCTTTTGGGCCCAAAAGCCTTAGAACATGAGTCCTTAGAGCCTTAGGGTAGGGAGCCCTCCCCCTAAACTCTAAACCCTATACCCCTAAACCCTCAGCCGTAGGAACCCCGAGTTTAGGATAGTGGTGATCCTGTCCTTCTCTCTGGTGGGAGCCGGCATCATTGGATTTGCAGTCTGCAATGCCCTCATCAAGTTTCCGTGCCTTGGCCGATGCTGCGTCCAATAAGGGTCGGTTTAGGGTTTACGGTTTACGGTTTAGGGCGGGGTTAGGGTTAGGGTTAGGGTTTACGGTTTAGGGGTTAGGAGTTAGGGGTTCAGGGTTTGGGGTCTAGGCGTTGCAGCGGCTTCAAAGGGTTGGCTGACGTGCAAAGTGCTTGACACGGCGTTGGAAGGGTTGTATGCACGTGTAGTCCATAGTTTACCAGGCGTACTGTATGCCACGCTGTGTGTAGGTGGCAACATACTACGAAACCCACTGGCCTGGGTTTCTTGTTTAGAGTGCCCGGGACTCTCAACCCAAGACAACCTATAGGATTTCACAAGGCTCCGTATATCACTCTTTCATGATGTTTCATGATAACCGGCTCAGCCGGCTCATACCTGCGCCGTAGTGAACCATAATGGGGTGTTGGGTCATCACTCATTGGCATTCTTCTGGTGGGCTCTTAGGACTTTAGCTTCTTGGGGTTTCTATATGAACTACAATAAAGAGGCTAAAAGTTTATGTAATCTCTTGAAGGGGTTCGGAAGTCAACCAAGCGATCACATGCGCCACCTCAAAGACTCAAAGATGACCCAGGAGAGGTCTGGAGCCCTTGAAGCGTGAAGACTTGGCCCTGAAAGCGAATCCCATCGTGCATGACGGGTGGAAGCTTCATCAAACAGTGGAACAGCATCTCTGGTGCGTGACACTTGATGACCTGAAGCAGTTTCGCCGCCTTGTGGGCCATGCCATCGCAGAAGGAGTGACTTGGCAGCTGAGTGAGCGCACTTTGCACCTTTTGGGATAATATCAACCATTCTAGAGTTGCAAGTGTACACTTTTGGGGGTTTTTAAACTCAGCAACTAAGGTGATCAAGCCCACTAGCCAGGATCCCTTTGACACCACCGACATGCTCATCGGCCCTTCCATGTACCTGAGTAGCATGAGTACACTTTGCACTTTCTGTGATACTAGAACCCCAACAGAAACCGAACGCCCACATTTTCTGGGGGGGAGAGGCTTAATTTGTTAAGTCAGACCTTCATAGGTACACAGTCAACATGATAACCCCCATAGAACCCCTATAGACCCTGAGCCGTTGGCCCTAAAGCCGTTCAAAGGTACACGGTCAACATGCAATTCATCAAGCCGATGACTTCCGCCGCTGGCAACCCATCCTGGGCATTGATGAAGCACCCCAAGGGCTTCTGGGCTTTCTTTGCTGTTTGTAATGGAAAGAACCTGGTGTACGTTACCAAAAGAGTTTGAATGCCGATTATGCTAAACCAGGTTAATAAACCTCAAACCCTAAACTGTTAATCTCTCAAGAAGTTGAATCCAGGTCTGAAGTGCGACCTCTTCATCACACATGGTTGGGCCGAGGGCATCTTCGAGTTCGTGGACCAGGTTGGGACGTTCTTGAAACTAGCGGTTCATTCTGGTAGAGTAGCACCTGGAACTCTAATTACCTACAGTTTTATGGGTTCTACCTATTAATTATGATTAAGGGGAATGGCTGCTAATCTGTCGTTAAAGAGAGTTACAGGTAGAGCATTCCTTTTGCTTTCTAGTAAAGTAGCAAATCGCACATTCGTGAGACGGAACTTTTGGATTTTGGTAAACACGTAGTAGAGTAGCAGAGTACATTCTGATGAAGGAACAGAACTACATGTAATGGTTTCACGGGCTTACTGCAACAGCCAGCCCTGTAGGTGGTGAATTCCTGGCCCTTCGGCGCGAAAGCTGCGTATGTCTGCTTCCTGTCCAATCCGCAGAATCTGGACATTGGTGACCGAGCTCTTGTTAAGGAACCGTTCTACACCATAGTACGGTCCGACAGTAGATAACGTCGTTTCTGTATAATGGTAGCTTCACTTACAACCCCTAAACCCTAAACCCTAAACCCCTAAACCCCAAAAGCCCTAAACCCGAAGAAGAACCCAGGTGAGATGATCGAGAGCCCAGAGGGTTCCCCTTTCGCCAAGGCTTTGCAATCGGCCACGCAGGCAAGGACAGCATTTTTAAGGGTTTAGGGCTTTGGGTTTAGGGTTTAGGGTTTAGGGTTCATTAGGTTCCCCAGTAGTACCCTTTTGCCCTTTTTTATGATCGGATGTCCTGGTTAACGCCGAACACTAGGAAAATGGATACCCGGATTATTATGGGGCTACTGCGGAAGCTAGTTCAGAGGAACTTGATAGAAGTGAATGCAACATGGAAACCATCCATAGGTCCCCGAAGGGGTTTAGGGTTTAGGGGTTTACCTGTGGCCCAAAAGACCTGCTTTTTTTAAAGGGAAATGCATAAGAAACCATGATAAGGAACTCTAAACAGGGTAGGTCTTGTCGGCTACAGGCAGGGTTTAGGGTTGACTGGGTTCCTTCACAAGAAACCTGTCTATCTATTCGTCTGTTCAGCTAGTTCTTCGCTGTGATTTCCAATGTTAGGGCCTGTTAGGGAGCGTCATAATCACGCCAATCCGATCGGAGAAGACTTAGTAGATATGCATGGATGCATGGATGGATGGATGGATGGATGGAGCGCGGTCATAGAAACACAGAAATGCTCCAACGTATAACATGAGCGCGTAGTTGCCTGGCTTTTGGTTTTTCAAGATAAGTTAACGAGGTGATCCTGATTTTGCCATGAAGTCTCGAGGTGCTAGCAGCTCCAAATCATCGGGGGAGTATTTACACGCGAGCATGGTGCGTATTCGAAGCCTACCTGGCCTACAGCTGGCAAAAGTCGTTTCTCGGTTCAGAAAGTTGTTTTGGTGGGTTTCTGCGCTTTCATACAACATCTGGAAATTTGCTTTGTAATTCCTCGTGCGACTGAAACAGTAAGTTACAGAAGCGACAGAAATTCCATAAGAGTTATCTGTTTAGAACCCGTCTTCGGCCCTAAGCCGAGCTACTGAGGAAGTAAGGAATGTTCATCCTTAAACCATAAACACCAAAGCCGATTGAATCCCAACACAATCCTAAACCCTAAAAAGCCCTTAAAACCCCAAACCCCAAGGATCTACACGGCCGCTTCTCTGCCGCCGAAGTTTTGGCGAAAAACACTGAGGGCCATGAGCTGGTCGGTGCTGATGTTGCTGGGTTCTGGTCGCAGGTTTAGGATTTAGGGGCTTATGTTTTGATTTTAGGCCTAGCCTAGCATTTGGGGTTCAGTGGTTGGGGTTGTGGGTTTGGGGTTCAGGGATTGGAGCTTGCGTTTTCCGGTGTAAGCGTTCAGGATTTGGGGTCTAGGCTTAGTAGCTGCAATGGTAACTTTTAACCGTGTTGGCTCCGTTTTATCTTACAGAGAGAGGCCAGCAATCCTGGGGCCGGGAAAGCCATCGATTACCGCCACCCAAACAAGCCTACCTTTGTAAGGACTTGTATAAGGAATCAGAATCAGGAACCTTGAACATGTTTAAAATGTGCGTTTCCGTAGGGGTGCGGGTAGGTCTAGGTTGTTGAAGCAGCTATTAGCAAGGTTGTGTATGGGCTTGCTGTAAAATGTCAGAGAGTTAAGTCGCCACAACAGGCATCTATTGCAAATAATGTGCTTCCCTGAACCTTAAACCCTAAACCCTAAGACAAGAACACAGGTTGGGCTTGTCCTTCTCCATGGTGATGGTCGGAAACAGGGAGTGGAGAGTGGTTAGCGCAGATGCGACGACTCTGGGATCTGGAGTACTCTACCTGTGTCCATTTTGGAACTGGTTTCCTTGCATGTAAGAGTTTTGTGTTTGTTTTTCCATGGTTGTTTCAGAGCACAGGACTTGGATATCATTCATCATGGCAGGCTTCACTTGTGTCAGCATCGTCGCGTTTTCTGTCTTGATGTGGAAAACGAAGTACGATTGGAAGTTGACGCGAAATACACTGTACGCTGTCCATGCATTCGCGGCCTGCCTCCTTGCACTGACCACTTTCCAGCAATCTTTCCAACGGCCCCCGAACTTTGTCACTGCTGTGGGACTTCCAATTATTGCCTGGGCCATGGAGTGCGATCGATTGCTGGGTGTCGAGGCCGTCAAGCAATCCAGCTATTTGCGACGAGGTTTCACCGGCAAGGTTCGAGATGCCTCAACCTCAAACCCAGCAGACGGTGAGCGTATCCGAAGCATCATCTCTGAAAGTGGAGCCGAGGCGGCCGTCGACGAGGCCGTTCAGGTTCTCTTGGTAGTAGTAAGCGACCTTTTCTTGGTGACTTTTGCTGAGTGTATACAATAGCTTAGGGGTCCATACATGCTGATTGGGATTTGGAACCGATGTTTAAGGTGTTCACTACCTCGAGGGTTCATGCACAATCACTACAGTATGCGTAGTTCCAGAGTCAGTACGCATGAACCCTCCAGGTAGTGAACATCTTAACCTCGTTTGAGCTCGGTAACCCACCCTTACTATGCCCTAAAGCCAGCTCCTAATTACCTTTCTCTGTTCCCTAAGCCCGGAACTCCTTCAGTTCGTCAACGAAAGACCACGATTTAGGGCTTAGGGGTTTAGGGCTTCCATGTTGAACCCCCAAGCCCTGAGTCCATTCCTGTTCTAAGGTTCTCCTTCGGATGAACCTCTCAACAAAGGAACTTCGAGCTGCAACCGCGCGGGTGGGACCACTTGGGAATCTAGGTGAGAGTTTCAGAACCCTATCGGATCCCATAATCGGCTTGTTTGTTTCTTGGGTATGCTGGGGATCTAGGTGGAAGTATCAGAAAATGCTTCGTGGCGAAGCAGGGAAGCCTTTCACCTTTCGGGGTTGATATAATCAGCCTCTGGGTTGCCCGTGAACCCAGCAGCCAAACAGCAAGTCAAGCATGGATCCGCTACTTCTTTTTGGTGTTGCATATGGGACATTCAATAAAGAAGGATCCTGCTATTTGGGGTTCAGCGTACAAGGTTTCACAAGGTTTCACGCGTTGAAGGTTCCCTACACCCAACACTGCTCAAAACCAAAAGCTCTGAACCCCCAAACCCTAAGCCCTAAACCCCAAACCCTGGGCCCTAAAACCCCAAACCCTAAGCCCTAAGCCAATGGCCCATAAACGGTAAACTCAAAACCCTAAACCCCAAACTGCCAACCTTAAGCCCTTAACCCCCAAACCCTAAACTCAAGACCTAAGCCCTCAAGCGCCCAGGGATGCTTCAAGCTGGAGCCGTGGACTCTACGCGGTTACCATGGCCTCTTAGTGCAACTTAGAGAGTATAGGGTTGGCTTGCGGGGTCAGGGTTTCGGGTGTAATGTATGGACCTAAGTAAATTACCCATACTATTTTGGGGGTTCCTTGTTTTACTTTAATTATTGTATACCCCAAAGCCCTATTCTAATTATTAAGGCCCTCATCTTAGATCCTATCTTCACTCAGTTTTGTTTATCTCGCTCTATGTCTTTATGTACGTGTATAATATTTCTTATACACAGACAGACATGTACCCAGACGTGTATGTACACGTATATACAGAAACATACATATGTACACACGCACACACACACACATTGAATCCAGCAACTGGAATCTTAACAGGTTGTTTTTTGCAGGTGGGGAGCTGCGAATTCTGCTTGGAGGTACATGAGTAGTTATAAGTGGGGTTATAAGTCCCCTAACAAGGGTTATAATTAGAGTTGCCCCACTCTAAATCCTGAAAACCCCCCTTGTATTTACCCATGCACCTCCAAGTAAGGTCTTCTGGGTGGCGCAGTCTTTCAACACGATGCTCTGGCGGGTCGAGCCTGGATTTCGCTGGATACCTGTGGTTGCCGCAGTGCCTGGCTCTTTACTGATGAGGTTTTGGGGTTTTAAGGGTCGTGTAATGCCCTCACATGTATGGCTCCATACAGTTTTATGGGGTGCAAGTGAGCTGGAATGAATGCTACAATAGGAAGGAGAGCATGTTATGACTTTCGTCTCTACTATGGTAAGTTGAATCAACTGGAACCAAGTTGAGCTTAGGTGCAGGCAGTTATCGCTGCCTGTGGCTTGTTTCTCCTGCCACGGGACCGAAGACCATTCGCACAGAGGTCGGTGGCACTCTTCATGGCTTTCCTTCCGAAGTTTGTTCCAGGAATACCAGCAGGTGGCAAGTGGGGCGATGCGATTCTACATGGAATTGCAACTTACTGGTGCTTACGAAGGAGTGGGACACGTCATCCCCAGTATTCTGTAATCGTACGCCCTATCCCCCACCACTCTCCCTGAAGCAGTAAGGCAATCCCCTTGCTCATTCTGATGGCCTTCGCTGGACCCACTCGCACGGCACGGCTTCCTCTCTTTGGTCCCATGCTGGTTCCTTGGCAGCTGACTACTGCTACGGTACACCTGACACTTTTAGAGATCATATACATAATCAACGTAGTTCTGAACCGTAACATCCGTAAACCACCAACACCCGGCCACTAAAACCACAAAAGCCGAAAATCTCTACTAACAGCACAATAGCTGCGGTATTCTTATAGCAGTTCCTGAACCCTGCACCTCATATGAGATCTGAGCAACGAAGGTTCGACTCCTTTTTGGGCAACATCCCTTCAGGTGCCACGGTTTGCGGTGTAGGGCAGACGAACAAAGGGGCCGTAATTTACTAAAACTCTATACGACGATAAGGGGAATAACTTAGTGCTGTCTTATCAGCCCTCGACCCTAGGCCCTAAAGACCTCAACCTTAGATTCCAAACCCCTAGCCCTATAAACCCTGAACCCTGAACCTTCAAATCAACCGTAAATTCCAAACCCTGAACCCCTAAACCCTGAAATCAACCTTCAATCCTAAACCCTGAACCCGAATCCCTCAAATCCACCCTCAACCCTAAGCCCCACATCAAGCCGAGATCCAAAGCCCGGAACCCTAAAGTCGAAGCCCTAAACCCTAAACCCTAAACCCCTAAACCCTAAGCCATGACCCCCAAACCATAAACTCAAAGCCCTAAACCCCTTGAGCCCTAAGCTGCGAGGTGCCAAAAGGTCCAAGCCGACCCTGCTGAGAGCGTGCAGCTGCAGAGCTGGGGTTTGGGAAAGCCAGGAGACTCATAGGTACTTGGCGTTCTTCTGGTTGGCTCTTCGGACTCTAACTTTTTGGGTTTCTATATGAACTATAACACAGAGGCTAGAAGTTTAACCTCTAGGAGGGGTTCAGAAGTCAACCAAGGGCAGTTCTCTTAATTAGGGTCCCCGGTGTAGGGTTTTGGGTAAAGGTAGTTCTCTTCATTAGGGTACTCTAAGGGTTCTATGTTGAGGGCTTAGGGCTTACGGTGTAGGGTCTCTTTAAGGGTACCATAGTGTTCTATATGGGTAGTTCTCTTTATTAGGGTTTCGTCTTCGGTCCCCGAAATAGTACGGCACCATTATGCCACCCTTATACATGGGACCCTAAGAGGACCTTAGTTAACCTCATACTTAGAAAACAGAAAACCACGTCATGGGGGCCTGCGTTTTTGTTTTCATTATAGCTACCATCACTAGTACTTGTAATTATGTTTCTGCAAGTCGGGCTCTACGAGGCCATGGCGTGGGCTCGTTGGGGAGCCGTCAAGTGGGTGCAGAATCAGCCACGAGCGATGGCCGATAATACCTACGACCTACGAGCCTTCGGAGCTTCGAGTTCGATGTCTTTCCATCCGTGCCTTTCGACAAGTTCGCGAAGTGCATCCGCCCAGCCTTCAATTCCGAAGTTTCCAAGGCGCACATGGACGTTATCTTCAAGCGCGCTGTCTTCTTGGTGAACAGTCCCCCCAGACATGTCTACTTCAGCAAGGCGGGCATCCACGAGGACCTGTCCCCGGTGTAAACATAGAGCGTCCTGGATATCTCACCGAAATGGGGCGCGCCCTCTACGGCACCTGCAAGGACGGTGCCCGGGTTTTCCCGTCCGACCATGCCGCAGTGAACAGGACTGTGTGACCAAGGTCATGCAGCAGCGCTTGGATTGGAGGCGTCCCGACTACAAAGCTCGGCAATCTATCCGTCGTGGCCCCTGTGGCCCAGATGTTGCATGCTCCCGCGCCCAGCCCGTCTTTCGTCAGGTTGAAGCTCTTCACAAGTCATCTACAAGGGATGCGGTCAACACTGCCCCTACCCAATAGACCCGGTCAGACAGATTCCTGCCGAATCGGCAACCCAGGAGTTGCCGAATTCGGCAGACCAGCAACCGAAAATGGTTGCCGAATCTTCGACAACTTATCGTCCGATCCACCGCCGCGCGACGAGAGGAAGTTTCGTGGAAGTTTCGCCCTAACTTCGCCCGAAGTTTGGTTGAAGTTTGGGGTGGCCTCAAGGGATTTGAGAGGAAGTTTCAAGGCGGGAACCGAGAAAGTTTGGTGGAAGTTTCGGGTGGCGATGGAGAGCAATAAAAGCTAGGCGTCACACAGGTTTATCGCCGAAGTTCTTGGGATCTTTCTGCTGCATAGATCGTAAAATACGGGGTTTAGGGTCCCTAAGCCCTAAACCCAAAACCCTAAACCGTTTAGGTTGGTTGAAATTTTGGGGCCTGGGCCAGGAAGTTTGGTGGAAGTTTTGGGGGCCTGGGCGAGGAAGATTGATGGAAGTTTGGCTCGGGCCGAGATGCCGAATTCGGCAGATTCTGCAGAATTCGGCCCCCCTGGTTTGCCGAGTTCGACAACATCTGCCGAATTCGACAACTCGTGTTCTGCCGAAATTCAGCAAATGTCTGCCGAAAACATTCTGCCAAAACCTGTTGCCGAAAACGAAGGGTTCGACCGAATCCTTCGTTTTCGGGATTGGGCAGGAATCTGTCTAACCGAGTCTATTGGGTACCATCAAACGCGAGCGGGTGGAGCAATAGGAAGTCAGCAACACGGCAAGGATCTGGGCCACGGAGCTGACAGCTTCCAACAGCGTCATCGATCTCGACTCCCCCGGCAGTGCCAAGTCAGATCTCCCGTCTACCGCGGTGCCCAACCCCCCAGACACAGTTGATGACGACGTGGATGTTGTCTCCGAGGAGGAGGCGGATGTTCTGGGTCATGGCTTCGACCTCCATGAGCACGACGACTGTGCTTTGCTGAGGCAGCGCGTATAAGTCTTGTCATCGCTGTCACGCCCAATGTCCTCCTCGGCTCTTCAACAGGATACCCCGCTCATGATGCTGTACAGGTTGTGTCACAACGCTGCTCCGTAACCGCATCGTCGCAAATGATGGGAGGCCCGACAAAGTCTTGTAGATCGCAGCCCACGCAGACCTCGTTTCCTGCTTGCGCATCGGCCAACAGGACGTCTTTGCCCACATGTCTGCTGCCTCGCTCACGGTTTGAACCTTTGCTTCGCACCTTGCTTCGCCTCATGAGTCGTTGCATGTCTAAACTTGTAAACCTCACGTGCTGTATATAGGAGAAGTTGCCGCCCACTGTAGTTCTTGCTCCAGTCATGGTGAAGGTCGCAAGTGTTTTCCTCGCCGCAAGTGTCCCAGTTGCTCTGGGTCATTCATCAAGACCATCGCGGGCCCTCGCGACATCAGCAAGGTCGTCCTCATCGGGAGTGAATTTATCCAAGACGAGCGCTCGCGTCAGTCGTTGTGTCCGAAAGGGCTGTCGGATTTAACTTATTCGTCACAACTACATGCGGATTGCCGGGGAGAAGATCAATGTGCTCTCCTTCAATCAGATGAAAGCAGCTGGCCCTCCAAGACAGCATTCATCATATGACCTACCTCGAACTTTGCTATCTTCGCCTTCTTCGTGCCGAAACCATCCCCAGGACCGGAGGCTGCGGTCCAGCTCTTCTCCATCAAGGACATGATGATCTTCCTGATCGTCGAACTTTCCGTGATTGCCTATTGCGTGCTGTTATGCTGTGGCGAAAAGCACACATCCAGCCTCTGATTTTCCATCCCCTGGACGTGCGAGAGGTGGCCATGGATGGGAATTTCATCGACCCTCCCAGGAACAAACAACTGCCAGGACGACGGCGGCGAGCTCTTCGTGAGATGAACGACCCTGCAGCTGTGCCAGAAAGGATTCTCTCCACATAGCACTGCCCAAGCGGACTGCGGGACGGCAGTTCACCGTGAATCCTTCATCCAGAAAGGTCCTGGCGGCTTTGGAGCACAAAGCCAGCGAGTCTCATGGGGACAAGGTTCGCTAGTTACATGGGCTTTTTGCAAATCCGCAGTTGTTCCGAACTGCGTGATTCATGACGAAGTGTGTCACTTGGAGGCCTATGTCCGAAAGCTCCATCCTGACAGTTTCCGTAGTGTCAAAGACGACATAGTGGATGCTTTTCACCACCGCACAAATGCAGTAAGTTAGAACTGACCGTGTCGCAGAAGCTACGCTGCAACAGCGTGCGAACAAACATGTCCGAAAGCTGCAACGCTTGGATCCGGCCCTGATTTTGTTCGTCAATTCGCTTCGACCCCACCTTCTGGATTGAGGAAGCTGGTGAATTTTACAACACGACTCTGGCTCCTATGCCCACATTCGCGGCCCGAATGCGGGGACGTCGTATTGTCAAAGCTCGCATGATGAAGAAGCCTGCCGCAATTCGCAAACGGCCGAGCAGCCGTAGGTAGGTTGCACCGTGTCCGGAAGGCCGGCAAGCCTGCCAAGTTTTGATGTTCTGGACTGCCGCAAAAATCCCGAGAGAGCTCATCATGCGATCCCGCGAAAAACACCTGCGAGCACGCCGTACATGCCAGCATGTGTATCATGAAGTCTGCACTGTTACAAATGCACATGTATCTTTCCGCGCGAGCTCTTCTACTGCTCAAGCGTTTCACTACTGACTAGTCTGTTTGCTCCAATGGCCTCGCTCCCGGTCGTCGGACATGTGCGTTCGGCTGGTCGTGGTATAGGGTGCTGCTACAACTGCAGCCAGTGCAGGGGCGTTCCACTAGCTCTGCTACCCAGACGAAGCCACCGAATGCCAAAGACATGCTCCGTGAGATAATTATTCCAAGCAAAGTACAGTTGGTATATCCCTCAAGGGAGAATATGAGGTCTGCGGAAGCTACGGTGTTGTTAAACAACTGGTTGGCAGAGCCGCGACGTAACACAGCTTCAAGAACACTAGCCATCATGGACTCCAGCGAGAAGACCCCAGAAGAAGCCAGAAAGAGTTCGACGCCACAGTCGTCTCCATCAACGTCATCGTCTTCAACCTCTCATGAGCCAGTCAAAGTCCAGCACAGGCGTAAGCGTACACGCGCAAGGTCTCCTGTTGAGCTGCTGGAACATATATTCTAGAACTGGAAGCCGTCATAGGCAGAGCGCAAGACGTAGAACAGGAGAATGCTTTGCTCAGCCATGAAGCTCAGCGACTCAAAAGTGTTCTTGAGTCACGGAATCTAGGGCACTTGGTGTAGTAAGCATGTCAACATCTCTCCGTGTGTTTCACCAAGGGGCGAGCTCCCCCGCCCGGAATATAGGGCCCGTTGAAAGGTACCCTCACCATTAAGGGTACCTTTAGGGGTTCCTGGTATGGCTTCGATAATACAGTTGGAACTTTCTTGGCTTTGGTTGTATAAGAAGAGAGTTAACACAGTGATTTCCTAGGGCCTCTTTGGGGGTTCCTTTAAAGGTTCGGGAGTTTGAGGTTTTTCCAAAGCCGGGGCAGGCTTAGACCCGCCAAGATGGGCACTTTTTTGACAAAAAGAGACATAGGTGGTCAGCAAAAAGACATGCCCCGCTTAGAGGGGCCTTAAACTAGGGTTGTTTGATGGTTTTAGCTGTCAGCGGTGCCAGGAGAGTTTGGGAACTTGCGGAGGCTAGCTTATAGCTGCACTTATACGGGTTGAAGCATAGAGGCTTGTCGATGTTGCTATACGGTGCTACAAGGGCTTGGGAACTTCAGGCGACTAGTTTGCAACAGTTCAGAGCATAAAGGCTTTCTAAATTAAAGGATACAATACTGCTCCATCTGGGCTCTATATGGCTTCTTGGCGATATTCTACGGGCTTCGGAGCTTGGGCTGAAGCCCTACAAGCTAAGCCCTAACACCTTGTTCCATAATCCTCGGGGAGCTTACAAACCCAAAACCCTAAAGCCTCAAGCCCTGGACCCTCAACCG